TTTATTCTTATTCATTTTTTAATCTTCTTACTCTATTTATATTTATATTGTATCCCGTTCTTATTTATTTTATCGTTTTACCCTGTATATATCCTATTGTGTCATATCTCCAGTGTTTCCTCGGAGGGCGCTCTCTGCACCGGGGCTTTGATCGACCGTGGCTGCTGGGGCACAGGGGGTCCTCTCAGCCCGGCTGGGAGGCTTCTTTGCCTCCCTCCTGCTGTGTGGCCAGCCTGGAGGCTGCGGTCTGTGACCGGCTCCTGGTGCAGACGGCTCCCCTGTTATAGTGTTTCCTCACTTGGCTCATGCGTACCGAGCCCAATTTAACTCTTTAAGTGTGTGTGTGTGTGTGTGTGGGGGGGGGGGGATATGCGTGTATTCACATCGTTTATGTTAATGTAGATTGTACAAAGAATATAGCACAAACATGGAAATACAAAGGAAATACATGGAAATACATTTTTAAAATAAAATTTCAAGGGTTTGTTAAAAAACAAACCTTTTTGGAAATACTTTTGTGTCTTTATGCATCATAGCATTTTATCATTCATCATATGTAGCAAGTTCAAATTACAGATTTGAATATTTGCACTATAACAAAGTCCAATTTTTGTTGCTTATCAACATTCACATTTTGGACAGAGAGGACAGATGGTTTGAAAGAGGAGTGAAAGAAGCCATCTATGTCCACTGTGAGCGACCATCTTTGAACAGAGGTGGGGGTTTACGACACCAACTCTCTGCCATCTATAATCCAGTTTTGAGATCCCTTCCCAGACGCCTTAACGCCCACTCACATCCTGGGCCATCTGATCTCAGGAATTCGCATGATAAGGTGGGGCCAGGTTTCACAATGAACTCACCCGAAACCCTGGCTGATTGGGACCCACACCCAGTTTCACACCTTGGCTCAGGCGATTAGAGGATCATCAGGGGGTCCTTTTGTCCCTCTGTGGGGGGTCACTCCCACTAGGTTTATATCTGGGACTCTCCACCATTTGACCTTAGAACTGAAGAAGCTTCTCGGATGAGAGGTGAAACGTCTTCAAGTAACTTAAAGAAGTCCAGACGCTTTTCTTTGCAAGCTCCTTTGACTACGATGACCTGGATGACTGAGAACATTCACAGACATGTTGCTTATCAAGTTTTTCTCCTTCCCCCCCCCCCCAATTCTACTTCCTCTCAGTACTGCAGTGTCATTTTTATCATTTTCAAACCATTTTATTTTGGAAAATCTAATTGTACAAGCTAGCCAGGCTAACTCAACTAAACAGTATGTGAGGACTCAGGGCTGTGTGTCGGACAGGGTCGTCTGCAGTACGGGGGCCCCACAGGGAACAGTTCTGGCTCCGTTCCTCTTCACCATCTACACTGCAGACTTCTCCCACAATTCCACCCAGTGCTTCCTGCAGAAGTTCTCTGATGACTCTGCAATAGTCGGCCTCATCACTGATGGGGATGACAAGGAGTACAGAGGTCTGACCCAAGACTTTGTGGACTGGTGCCAGCTGAACTACCTCCAGATCAACGCCAGTAAAACCAAGGAACTGGTGGTAGACTTCCGCAGGCACAAGCATTCTCCACTGCAACCACTGAACATCCAAGGTATGGACATTGAGACTGTGGACAGCTACAGGTACCTTGGTGTTCATCTGAACAATAGACTGGACTGGACTCATAACTCAGACGCCCTCTACAGGAAAGGGCAGAGCAGGCTGTACCTGCTGCGGAGACTCAGGTCATTTGGAATGGAGGGCCCACTCCTGAAGACCTTCTATGACTCTGTTGTGGCTTCTGCTATCTTTTATGGTGTGGTCTGCTGGGGCGGCAGCATCTCTGCTGGGGACAGGAAGAGACTGAACAGGCTGATCCGAAGGGCCAGCTCTGTTCTAGGATGCCCTCTGGACCCAGTGGAGGTGGTGAGTGACAGGAGAATGGTGGCTAAGCTGTCATCCCTGTTGGACAACATCTCCCACCCCATGCAGCAGACTGTGACAGCACTGAGCAGCTCCTTCAGTGGGAGACTGCGGCACCCACGGTGTGGGACGGAGAGATTTCGCAGGTTTTTCCTCCCCACTGCTGTCAGACTCCATAATAAAGACTTTAACTGATCAAGCACACACATCCATACATATGCAATAATACTAAGTGCAATAATCCTTTCTGTCATCGTTGTATTCTTACTCAGTTGTATATAGCATTTGTATTTGTATTCTATTTTTATCTTATTGTATATTTATTTTTTTTATTCTACTGTATATAGTATGTTATTTTATTCTATTTTGTACAGTTGTGTACTGTATTTATTCTTATTGTATCCTAATTTTTGCCTCATAACTTTTGCACTGTCCACTTCCTGCTGTGACAAAACAAATTTCCCACGTGTGGGACTAACAAAGGTTATCTTATCTTATCTTATCTTATCTTATCTTACAACTTAAAGAGACACCAAACCATTGTGACTGTTACAAGTGCCACGGGATTTTATCTTGTTTTAGTTGTTTTGAGTATGAGTATGACCTGGTTATGGCGTTCCATGTGTCCTGCTCGCTAACATCTTCCACCCTACTTTTATCTGCTGAATTACCTCAAGGGCATTTTTGCACAGCCTGCAACTGGGATCTTGTGTGTGGTTGTGGTAGTCCTCAGCAGTGTTGGGCAAGTTACTTTGAAAAAGTAATTAATTATAGTTACTAGTTACTTCTTCCAAAAAGTAACTGAGTTAGTAACTGAGTTACAATATTCTAAAAGTAATTAATTACTTGAAAAGTAGCTATTGCGTTACTTTAAAAAAAAATGTTTTACCCTCTGGGGTCCAGGGTATAATTGGCCATTTTTAACTACTTTTGATTTTCCCTCTACGTTTTACCTTTAAAAACTATTTACTTTGTCTTGTCTGGTATCATTCTTTTCTGTCTGAATTTACAGTTATGTTTTCATTTTGACATACTGTATTAACACAACTGGTCTAAAATCACAAACATGTTTAATGAATCATATTTCATAACTGTAAATAAAAATATAAATTGTCAATTTTAAAATCCTATGCACAAGTTTTGCAAACAAAGTTATTTGCATCCATTTACCTTTTACCCTTTTTAAAATAACCATTTCAAACTATTTACAGAACAACCAGCTGTTCTGCATTCTGACAGCAGCAGGTGTATCACTCCTTTTTCTACCTGGAGACAGCAGTCACCTCATTGTTCTGACGCACAACACAAAACTATCCACAACACTACACACTAACTACACAAGACAACTCATTAACTACACTCTCCAAACACGCTAAAGGTCACAAATCTCTCACATCTCAAAACTCTCTCAATCTCTCTCTCTCGCCATCACTCCTAAAACTTCCTGTTTTTTTTCTCTCATAAGCAGAGAGTGCTTGCTAGCACTGTCCTTAGACAGTAAACGCTGCATATATATTGTATATCATGACTCTGGTTCAACACAATTTAAAAACTGGTATATATCACCTTCTTGCTTTGTCTTTAAGTGGTCATGTGATTGGCTTACCACAACTACTTTATTCTTCCTCAGTCAAACAGCAGCACTCATGCGATTATTTTGCCCCCTTAGCTCCAGGTGTTGTGCTAGACAGTGATCGTGATTACCGTCCTTGGGAGCGCGCGCAGGTGCTTAAAGCTGTAGTCTCCAGATTACTTACATAGTCAGCTACTTCCGTGCAACTGATGCGGTAAGCTGAACACAGCTTCAACCTTCTGTTTGTTGAAAAATAGTAACGGACTGCATTTTCTTGTTAGTAATTGTAACAATAGGAATTGTAATTAGTTAGATTACTCGTTACTGAAAAAAGTAACGCCGTTACTTTTGTTCCTGTGTGGTCTTTCAGTCTTTCTCAACATCAGCCACTTCCTAAATTTGGTGGTGATACATGCTGTCCAGAAGCCGTCCAGAAGCCTGTCCTTCCATGGTGGTTCCTCTCCTTTCTCAGGTTTCTGCTGCCTGATGTACTCACTAAGTACACAACCAGTTGTCAACATCTTCCTGATGTGCTAATGGCTCTTTGTTTCATCCTGAATAGTGGTTCTGACACTCACTAGGATAAATAAAAGCTAAGGTGGAATGTCTCAGTTGGCAAAATTATAGATTTCAATTACGTTTACCAGAGAAATATCAATAACATAGTAAAAAGTAGTTTTTACAATTTGTCTATGCTTTTAATTGATGATGGTGGGATAAGGTCGTCAGACTGGTGGACCACTCGAATAGAGGCCTTGCTCTGTGAAGATCCAGCGGCAAACCCCAAGTTATAATTGTTAAAGTCCATTACTACCAAGACTGCGTCAATGTGCTATGGGGGGCCCGGAAGCAAAGCCCGTTGCAATACAAGGGGAACCCAGTGGTTTTCCTGATTACACCACATGCACTGCCAAAGCTTGCTCTGCTTTTAACGATGTGAGGGACCTACCTCAATGGTGTCCAGATGACCAATACAGAATAATGTTTAAAGCCAGATGTTATAGATCTTTCAGGGGTGAGAGTAAGGAGTTTCTGGATCCGGAGAAGGGAATGTTACACGTGAAAAAGACCGACTTATCGACTGAAACTGTCGGATGAAAGTGCACTACTGGTTGACTCTTGTTTATAGCCAGTCCCAGATGATGTGGAGCGTTGCAGGATGGAAGATTTGGTGGACAGTGCAATTACATTGCAAATCTTGTTAAGGCTGGACAAATAACCGATTACACTACTTAAGATGTTTATTAAAGAACAAGTTAGTGGCCCAGTCAATTCCACTCCTCTTCTGTTGGCTGATCTCATCTGCACATGGTCTTCATGCTGCACCAAACCTCGCTCATGCTCTTCTGCTGCACTTTCCACTTCAGCTTCCTGCTGTATCGTTCATTAGCCACCTTGACTCAAGTCAACTTTTCCTCTTGCACTCTTCCCACTTCCAACTTCTAACTCTGTTGCCACCACTGAAGGCTCTGAGCTTCTGGTTGACAAGCTCTTTGATGTCCTTTGTTTGGCTAGCACACAACCTACAGAAGACA